GTGGGTTGCCATTTCCTTCTCTAGTGGATCAGGTTTTGTCAGAGCTCCCTGCTATGACCTGTCCATCTTGGGTGGCCCTGCACAGCATAGCCCATAGCTTCATTTCACTACGCAAGCCCCTTCGCCACAACAAGGCAGTGTTCCATGAAGGAGTTCCTTCCTTTAGACTAGAGGAAAATCTGATGCAAGTCTGTGTAAGAAGCACTGCTAGAGAGCTGCATATGACCCAGTTGAGCAAACCTGCTTCCTAAGCAACAGTTTTTGGTGCTGAATGGATTCCTTGGTGTTAACAGGCAGCACACCTCTGAGGATATAGTATGACCCTACCTCCACACACCCAATGCTACGTATTTTTCACTGCTGGATCAAAGGTTTGGATTCTAAATAGATACAAACTGCAATTCTCACTAGGTCAAAGCAAGGCACCATATATGGAGCTCTTGGGTGCAGATTGAACCCACAAAAGCACAGACATTCATATCATTTATGGACCTTACTTTACATAGGATTGCTATGCCAATAGTGACATTCCATCCCAGCTGTACTTCTCAGCATATTGTTTGTATTGGCTAAACATCACAAAAATGGAGAGCAGAGGGAGGAAGTACAGAGAAGTGTAAGAAAATAAAATTCAAATTCTGCTTTTACTACCACCTTGTTTCTAAATTATATATCAATTGAGCCTAACATAAAGTCATGTGTCATAAATAACAAAGGTGGCAGCATGTGACATTCTGATTATTGCAACACACTGATAACACCATGATGCACTGCTATCCACCCATGTATGCAAGCTCTGAAGAAGAGGGGGAAAGTCCGTGCTGGAGGCCTGTCTTTTTTGTTAGAGTTAATTTTGGAGCATGGGGGAAATATTCCTCTGATCAAAAATAACTTTTTACTCACTTTGCCAGAGAAGCAACTCTTCTTAAGGTCTTTCTTTGCTGCTGCCAGTTGGATAGCTGAAACCTTTTAAAACCACATATATACGTACTAGCAATGACTGTCTTAGATGCATGAAGTGCTATGTTGCATCATTTCTCAGTCCATCTGAGGGCTAACAATGCACTGTCAGAAACCTCAGAAGTCCTAAATATCAAAGAAATGAAGCTCAGAGGGTGCTGACAAAAACTGGAGTCCTTCTTTACACTCATATTCTCAATAAACCTCAACTATTTCAAGATTAGTCTACTCCACATATAACCTGGAAATGATAGTTTAATCTATATAATTCAATTTAAAGCACCGATTCAATATGCACATATTTATTTAATTACATTAGTAAACAATTTATCCTACATTTCAGGATGATTCTTCCAAGACCATTTACAAACAGAGAATAAAACAGTCTAACATTGCAAATTAGGAAGATAATGAAGCTTTACAATAATAGATGCAGGTAATATGCACACATCAAAATCAGCAGTAGATAAAACAGTAGTTAAAAAACAGCACCATCAAACCATTTCAATGCCAATATAGTTTAAAAAATTGTTTAGGGCTCCCTGAAAGACCAAGGGGAAGAAACCAAAGCTGTATTTGAATGGGCATTCCTGATATGTGGGGCTACCACAGGAAAAGTTTTATCTCTGCACTTGGCAACCTAATAATTCACACTGGTGGACTAGAAAGCAGAGCACTTTAAATTGGGTTCAAACAAGCAGAAAACCAAAGTAAATGGTGAAGAATTGGTATGAATTAATCTGAACACCTCCCATGAGCATCCTAGTACTTGCATTCTGCATCAGTTGATACTTCTGACCTTCTTTAAGGGCTGCTCCAAATAAAACACATAACAGTAGTCCAGCCTAGATATCCGCAATACGTGTTGTAGGCAAGATCTGCTTTTTGTAGATAAGGTTGCGCGTGGCTAACCATTCAAACCTGTTAAAAAGCATCTCTGACCCTTTGTGGCAACTCCAACAAAAGCATTAAGACCAAGAGTGCCCCCAATTGTATACAGCACCTTTAAAAAAAAAGGAAAAAAAGTGTTTACCTGGATAAAAACAAAAGAAAACAATTTTAAGCACATGCAGTTTTGCTTAAACTTAAAATCCCCTTATATCATAGCACCATCATGACTACAGGGAAAAAAAGAAACTTCAAACTTCAAGGAATAAAAACCATATTGTTGCAGAACAGGATCATATAAGGCAATAATAATAAAAAGAACATTAGTAACCATGTACACCCTTAGCTGGCCCACGGCTGCAAAGTAATTCTAAAGCAAAGAAGGAAGGACGCTGCAAAGACCAGCAGGCCCCTGCCAGTCCAGATACTGATGGTGGGCCTGGGAGTCAATGCTCCCATCATGTGTTGCTCTCTTGGCAGTCCTTTGGGATGCTGCAAGGCCTCCAAGGTCCAACCTGAGCTGTACCACTGCCCAAGCTTTGTCCTGTCTCCTTAGGGTTCCAAAGTGCAATAGAACAATATTGGTGTTTGCATGTGTATCCTGATGCTGATCTGACCAAGCACAGCAATGATTCATGACTGTGGATGCTCAGTCAGGGATACAGGAACCTCCTGCAGCATGAAGGCCAAACTCCACTCTGTACTGGGCATAAATTCCATTCTGAGAGGTGAGCAGGGCCAAAGGCACAGGAATCAGGACCAGCATGCCAATATATTTCAGCTGAAAGTTCTTATGGTCAGTCACTAAGCCTTAGGAGAGGCATTTCAATCTTTTAGCATAGGGAGAAAAGTACACAAATCTGGTAAAATAACAAGCCACCTGTGGACAGGGGGATTAGGACCTCAGGAATGTCCCCAGACCTGAGGTCTCCTACCTCTATTCTAGCATAGGTCTTAAACACCTAATATAGTGTGGCTTGGGACTACAGCACCTGGCAGAATGCTTTTCCCTACCTTAACCTACCCAGACACTATGAGCCACATTTCAAGCCTTCGTTTGAGTACCACATCCTTAAAGCAGCAAGGGAGGCTTGAAAAGTGGTACCAAGGGAGAAAGCCTTTTCAGTGGTGACCCCTGACTATGAAATGACTTCCCCATTGAGGCTTGTCCAGCACAAACTCATATTTGTGGCATCAGGTTATGACTGTGCTCTACTTGCAGGCATTTAATGGCATACGATGGGATGTGTTAGTAGCTTTAACAGGTCCAGGTTTTTTAGCAACATTGCTTGCTATTCTAAATTTTGTATATTGAAGATGATGTTTTATGCTGCATTTTTGCTGTATCTGTATTTTATGCTATACTTTACTATAGCTGTATGTTGTGTTTCGCTGTGACCCACCCAGA